GCAGACGTGTTTTACGATACAAATGTCTTGGAGAAAAATGATTTCATGATAGCTACGTTCATCCACACTATTAAGAAAGTAGTCAACTAGATAGTGATGCAAATCGTATTTTTCATGTTAACAATCTTTGGAATACAGCTATACCATGAATTAGAACAATGCAGGGGGAACTAGAATCCGATTCCAATTGAAAATAGATCATAAGTCAGCACGCAAAGGCCTGTACAAAAATGTATAATATCATCGTGACTTATCAAAGGTAACCAGCCAAATAAAGAAAGAACTACATCGCTATTGGTTCCTGTGTGTAACATTTAACTGGAGCAGCTCTTCTGTATATTTCGAACATTAATACATCATTTGCATATTTTGAAATATTCAATGAGCTTATTGTGTAAACCTCCATCTCTGCTTTCGTTTGATTTCAAAGAATGACTTGTGCACAGCCTTGGTTGAATTGTCGCACAGCTGTGTAGAAACGATGGCATACATATGCAATTTCACAATTCAGTAAACACAATTGGATTTAGGTTTGATATATTCTAGTTTTAGTAAATTTAGTCAATATGTACAATGACATATAATGTCCACATTAGAATATCATAAAATACTCTACTCGACATAGATGTCAATTTCTTGTACTTACACAGAATTAGTGTAATTTTTCTGTTTTCTCCTAAAGGACGTGTACATGTGTTGTTTTCCGTAAACTGTAATTTTGAGATATATTCATTCTCCATTTGGGACAGAATTTCTCTAATAACGAGAATTTCAGTAGTTGTCGCGCATATGTAGCCACCAGCGACGTGGCGTCTGCCAAACATGGATATTTATCATACACACTCAAAGAGAGCACCCAAACCTGTTCAAGCTGGCGTACCAACAATTTATATTTTTCTAATTAATCTATATTATCGTTTTTTCGTTAGTTTAGTTAGTTACCGAATTTAACGTCGCAACGTTATACAGTAATTGAGTAGAACTCGTGCGGTGCCCAAATATGGGCTTCGGTATGTTGCAATACACCTTTATGATCTCAATTCCATTACCAGGCATGACAGTTAAACACCGTTGGCAATGCAAGACAAAACAAGTAATTAACGAAACCAACACACGGCAGACAAACAGACTGTTCCCATTGACCGATGCACGCTGCATTCAATGCTATATATATACGAAGAGAGCAACATAGACATTGGAATATACCTTCCGTAGACCGACATTTGTCTCCGTGCCAGGCTGTAAAGTCAAACCATTGTCTTCCGGGAAAGGCATCACATTCTGTGGATGAATTAGTAGTCTGGCTCCAGCCGATTCTTTTAAGTCTGATATGTACTGTAAAGGGGGTAATTATTCACTGGGTTTTAATTTAGCTTATTTCGCTGACTGGAAAAATGCGCTAAATTAAAACCCAGTGAATATGTAAAATTTAGCATAGAACACATTATCTAAATGACGAATCCGTGAA